ACTTCTCGGATATCAGATCGCTGCATCAACTGCCTACCACCCTCAGACAGACGGACAGACAGAACGTCTCAACCAAGAACTTGAAACTTATCTTCGAATCTATTGCAGAAGTAACCCGTTAGAATGGGCCAATCATCTTCCCATCGCCGAGTTCGTCCACAATCATCGAAAGCATGATGCCAGGAACACGTCTCCATTCTTCCTCATGATGGGCTATGAGCCACGAGGAATTCCCCACATCCTACCCGTATCAGATACGCCAGCAGCAGAAGAAAGACTCAGGAACTTACAGAAGATACGCGAAGAAGCACTCGCCTGCCATAACATTGCTATGCAGCGAATGGCAGAAAGATCTCGCCATGGGAAATATCAACCATGGAAGATAGGAGATAAGGTATGGCTAACGGCCACCAATCTCCTAACATCGTTACCATCTAGGAAACTTGCGCCTAAGCGATACGGCCCATTCGTTATCACCGCAGTCTTATCTCCCATCACGTTCACCCTGAAACTCCCAGATCAATGGAAGGTTCACCCCACGTTCCATGCTTCCGAACTATCCTCCTATCGCGAAACAGAGATACACGGACCGAACTACACCGAACCTCCACCTGACATTATCAACGGCGAAGAAGAATACGAAGTAGAAGCTATTCTTAGCCATAAAGGTACGGGTAAACGAAGACGCTATCTCGTATCTTGGATTGGCTACTCTTCCGGAAGCAACGAATGGATACCTGAGGAGAACTTGCGGAGTTCGAAAGAACTTTTAACAACATATAAAAGGAGGCACAAGTTAAACTGAACGAACCATTCTCCTCGAACAAACACCCCAGATAACATGACTCCCCCATTGACACCTTCCCCCACTGGATCATCTTCATCATCTGACCGCTCTCTTGGAAACTCCACATATAAGAAAAACATCCTTGACCTAGACGACGACGCCATCGTCGAGACAACCCTTCTGTCCCTCCCCCACGCAATTGAACTAGAAAAACAACTTGCTAAAGAACCCGCTCATATTGCCGCCCCCATAATTTCCCAGATCCACGTCATACGCGCCACCTCCGCTCTTGAACTTAGGTTCAAAGAAATCGAAAACGATGCCCTCAGACTCGCTTGTCAACACCTCCAAAGACAGATACGCAGCCTTGAGATTCAGCTGCTTCCTTCTGCTTTTAGTACTGTCTGCAAGTCAGTTATACGGGCTGTTGAAGAACGAAACAAGACCGAAGTCGGTCGCCCGCCAAGCCCTGCTACTAGCACTTCCCCCGGCAGCGTACCTGTTGCAGATACGCCTAGAGAAGAAACTCAGCCTGCTGCTCAGCCAGCACCAGCTGAAGAACCATTACCTATCCCCAAACCCACCGTCGTCTTTAAACGAAAGACCCGCAGAGGAGCCGTCGTGCACGGAGTGTCAAAGACTAAAGCTTCTAAGGGAAAGAAGCGTGAAGTCATTGACCTCACCAAAACCCCCGACGTCATCACAGTAAAACAACCCCAGTTCTCCGCAGACAATTTCGTCTGTCGCGTATGCAAGAAACTCGGGCATCGCCACAAGAACTGCCCTGAATACCACTGCCGCGTGTGCCAAGGCCAGAAGCCTGGCCATCTATCTATTTACTGCCCCTATGCCGCCGAGAAAGTATTATTCCCATTGGTTTACACCGATGAAGGCTTCTATGAAGCATTGTCAGCATGGGAAGGAAAGAAGGACGAAGAACTCCAGGAGGAGATAGACCGGGCGAATAGGGAGTACGCCACCAAATATAATGAACCGGAATTCTGCAACGCGGACGCTGATCCCATCTACTACGACTACATGGACGAGTATACCAATACCGAGGAATATTGAAGCCGGAGACTTCAACCATAACACGGGGGTAATGTTACAGTAACATTTAGCCCCTATACTCATTTCTTTTACCTTGCTTACAAACGGGCTGTCCGTATCATGCTTATCTCTTATCTTCACCAAGCGGGCTGTCCGCCTTATCCTTGATCCCTTATCTCTTATCATGCTTCTATCTTGATAACACATTTACAAGCTCCGCTTGAACATTCGTATATAAACCTAGCTACTTACGATTGTATTCCTTACTTTAATCTACTGGGTTTTACCTGGAACATTGTCCTTCAGTAAGGTCTCCAACCTTACTGTCTAAGAACCATTATTCTAAGGGAGTCAGCGACACTCGCCTTAGCCAGAACCTTTGATCTCTCAATCGAGAGCAGACTTACGTCTATCTGGCGTTCAGCCGATTGCCTATTCAGACAGAGATAGCTCGACTCATCCCAGTCGTAACATATTGTAACACACAGAAAGAAACAATTCGAAAGCACTTTTGCTTACTTGCAACGGCACACAGATGGGCTTGTCGTCAGCGCTACCATCAACCTCTTGAAATTGGGTGCCCTGGCTTGCAGCAAACATATCCCGAAAAGCAAGTGATTTATCACCAAGAATGCTTGCGTGCACCTTGAAGAGCAAGTTTCCCGCCTGCTAGTATATCAATCCACCTGGAATAAGGCTCTGATAGTTAAGTGACACACGAACCTGGAAGATGTGAGTGCCATCCGGGAAATAAAACATTTGATGGTGTTGAGCTGCAGTTATTGAATCACCGCAACAATTTGAACTTCAATCGAGTAGATATTGCATGAACACGAAGGAGTCGGAAGGACAGCTTGGAAGAGATAGCCTGAGTGAGTTGTTAGTAATAAAACCGGACACAGAAAAGTAATACATTGAACACACACAACATGTCACCTGTGAATTATGCTTGTGGAACTCTAGAACAGTTGTTTTTCTAGCCGACATTGACTCCTTGGAGTACAAAAACAATGGATACTGGTCCTTCATTGCTGTTGTCGCTTCCACTTCTCCCTGAAACTAAAAATTGGTCAGCAGAAATCCAAGCTGCCTACGAGAATGTCCAATGTACTTATGATCATGCCGTTTGAGTTCTTCGAGCAGACGGAGCTGACCCTACCCGCATTGCTTTCCATGTGGATGCCATCTCATCAAATGCTCTTCCAATCCTCGAAGCACTCATACCAGATAATGACATTGCCAATTTGGATGACAATTCAGAGTCTCTCCCAGTCAAATGGCTAGCTGATGTAGCTGCAATACTTGGGTGCGCAGTTTCGAATCTGGAGCAGCTAGGAACAACTGTAAATGAGCAGTAAGTCAAATTTTCGATAAACATATAGATACTGACACAGGATCTTACAGAGAGGAGCATAACATTGATATACGAGAGTACACTGGAATTGCAAGAACTGGAAAACGAGGACGTCTGAAGAAAATAATAGATCTTGATTTTTTGAGGGAGGCCACCTCTGCTCGACATCAAATCAGGCATGTTGAGCTAGCGAAGATTGTTGATGTTCATCGAGAAACACTACGGTGCTACATGCGTCAACATGGCATTGAAAGGCAATATTCCAACCTTCGTGACTGTGACCTGGATGCTTTGGTGAAAGTATTCAAATGTCGTAGACCAGAGTCTGGTTTTTGGTACCTTGTTGGTTTTCTTCGACAACAAGGTGTCCGTGTACAACACAGGCGAATATGGCAATCCTTGCGGCGAGTTGACAGAATTGGACAGCACTTAAGACGGCAACAAATTATTCGAAGAAGGAAGTATGAAGTAAAATGGTCCAATGCTCTTTGGCATTTGGACGGACACCATAAAATGATCCGATGGGGGTTCGTCGTCCATGGTTTTATTGATGGTTACTGCAGAACAGTGTGTAATTGTCATCACAGGTTGAAAGTTCAACTAATACCTGCCTAGGTGGTTGCACTGAGAGCAAGTACAAATAATCATGCTGCAACAGTTCTTGATTTATTTCTTGAAGCACATGAAGAGTATGGTATGCCATCACGTATGCGAGGCAATCGTGGTGGTGAAAATATTGATGTTGCCACTTATATGGTCATGCGAAATGGCCCAAATCGTGGCTCATTTATGTGGGGATCGTAAGCACTGTATTAGAATATAATTCTTTGAATGTTATGCTCACACAAATACTATAGGTCCACACGAAATTCCAGGATTGAGCGGCTTTGGGTTGAAGTAGGAACTCAGTTCGTGAGACGTTGGAGGGCATTCTTCAACCGCTTGGAGAGACTGCATAGTCTTGATATCGAGAAGACAGGCCATCTATGGCTCCTCCAGAATTTATTCTTGGATGCTATCAATGACGACTGTAAGACTTTTTGCGAAGAATGGAACCTTCATCCAATTGCTGGCCCATCAACAAACAACAAGAGTCCACAGGTAGGTAACATTTCAAGTTGAAATTTGAACACAGTCATATTTTGTCACAGGATCTACGACTGATAAGTCAGGCAACACTGGGTGTTTACAGGGACAACTGCGATGGAGTTCACCCAGACACAATTGAACAATATTATGGCACCCATGGCCAAGAACAGACTCGTTGTCATGGGCAGACTGGTGCTGACCATCCTGATGATGAAGACACCAATTCGGAGGATCAGCTCATCTTACAGATAGAAGAAGATCAGGAACAGAACGTTCGCCATGCTGCTATTGAAGTTCCTGGAAAGAAAAGCCCCTTTGTGACCCAACATGATGAGAACCTTTTTTTTTCGATGCTTGAGCAGATAGTTATTGAGGGCATCGTACCAGAAGGTTATGGCTTGCTCCCTGGTGAGCAAGATGATGATGATACAGCTATGGCTGAAGTCTTACAATTTGGGAGGCACAGAACAAAATCTGTCGTAGTTTCATTAAGAGATGCTGTCTGGGAAGCTCGTGCGACACTTTGGTGTCAAGCACTATCAGCATTATCTTTGTTCTAAACTGAAGGATATTTTTAGCTATACATACATAGTGAATCAAATAAGCTCGAAAATTGACGAGAGACTTAGAATCAATATCCAAAGCTTATGCAAGACGTAAATATATAAAGTACTACATCTTCTTGTTCTCCCGAACCATCTCTATTTCATCCTGTATGCTGCTATGTCCGACCGCAATGAAAGGTACTGCCGAGACTTTCGTGAAGGCAGGCAAGCATGCACATGTGAATACTTCACCCCACCTTCTAATCCTGATGCTCCTTACTACTGTCAAGAATGTCAGCATGGCTTTAGCAAGCATCCCATGGCTCTGGATTCTACAAGAGACGTACCTCAAAAGCAAGACAGCACAGCACCATCTGGAAAAAAGAGGCTCGTCAGCATATTCAAAGAAAAAATTAGTTCAGGGTCTGCAGCAAGACCCTTGCGAACTGCTACCTCATCCAAAAGCATGCTCAATCAAAAAACAGGTGTCGAGCAAGCTAGGGATGAAGTCTTGAATGGATACAGGACTGGTTTGAATTTGCAGAACAGTAAAGTCAATAAGGTGTGAAACGTGCAATGCATAATGAGTGGCACTCACAGGTTGAAACAGTTGCAATTTCACCGAGTTACCAGTACTAAGGCAAGGGCTGCAAGCCAATTCGATTTGGAGGATAAAGTTTCCAAGGTTGCATCGTGGCTTCTTTTGGTGAATAATCTTGATGTAAATTCAGAATATCTATCTCTTTCTTCACACAAGAAAAACTAACACAATATGACGAAGGATGATGGTAATCTCATTAACACAAGTCCACCATCACAAACACAGTTACTCAACATGGAGCGCCGTCAATGCGCACATATTGAGACAGCTAATAGGTTTTACTTCAGTCAAACGTGGACTCATGACGAAGTCCATCATTACCTGCAAAACGAGGTGTTTCTATTAGCATTTGAGTACGTCAATTCAACAGAAAAGGGGAAAGGAATTGGCATACCTTCTTGCCCATGGGTTTTAATAAGCAAGGAGAGGCTCCGACATGAGGTTGTAAACATTGACAACCCCACCGGCAGTGATCTTGCACAATTCCAAGGCAGACCCAAGTGCCCTGTAAAAGATGCCAATGTCATCATAGGTAAGGAGCCTCTGTCTCGTATAATCTATTGATGTTAACCTTAGTACTATTTTCAGCCTTGTGGAGAAGAGTTCCGGAACATATATATGCGTCATGGGATCCTGAATATCGAGAAATGGGGGACAATGGGATGTTTCTTGATTCCGATGATGCTTCAAGTTTCGAGGCCAAACCAAGAATCCTAACACGTGCGGGTAAGTTTATTGGTTTACTTATCATTTGGTACATATTTATCCAACTTTCTTTCTCATTTGCTAGCCGCTGCAAAGCTCAAATGTGGACGACAATCATCACCATCCATTGAGATTCTCTCCGACACTGAATACAAACCAACCACCAAAAAAATGAAAGGTGCACACCATGTAGTTCACAGAATATACTGTTGCTTATTCATTGTCTTGATACTACTAGGCATTGTAACAGTGAAACGAGAGGATTTTGCATTGTATTTCCAAGCACCGAATGCAGCGGCCTCTCAGCCTAAAAAACGTGAGTTTGTAGTATCTAAACACTATTTTTCTCACTAGCTCGGAATTCAGTTTTTCTAGAAAGTTCCAATGCAGATATGGATGAACTTCCTGATGTTATTTGACAGTTGTCACTGGTGCCACAGACCCCACAGAAAAACACTGTCCCTTCCAGCTCTTTTTTCAGCGCTGCGTCAGAGGTTGGATCAAGTTGTCAGGTGTCCCATTTTGGCACTGCTGATTTACTGTCTGCACAGTTCCAGTTTTCGAACCTTCGTCGTGTTGCCATGCCGCCTGATTTTGTGGAACCCCAACCATCCGATATAATCTTACAGGGTATCCGTGACCCTGATAGCCTATCTGCCCCTCCTCGTATTAATCCTTGGTCTGAGGATTATTTCATCGGCGACATAACTATCTCTGTCTAATTTCTCGTGCCCTACTGCGATCTACTTGATATCTTTTCTAGTACAATAATTATCATGACAAAGCTTCAAGTTCATTGCCACCTATGCCTTGCTACTCTGACCAAACTTACCCTTGCCGCATACCATGATGCACTCCCTTAATGACAACAATACAATCATTACTACTACTGGCCAGGCCCTTGGTTGCCAATGCTGGCAACTTTCGGGTCTTTCTTTCCTACTCTCGGACTCTACTTTGTTAGTGCTTATAGAGTTTAGTTTTGCCTTCGAAATCTATGATATTGTTATTTTGAAGCACTTCTAAGACAACTTCAAGGCCCAACTTGAAAGCTCAGGCTGTGGCTCTTTTCGTGTCGCGCACTCGACGTCGTGTATCGCGCACTCGGTGTGTATCGCGCATTTACGTTGTGTATCGCGCAGTTTATTAAAGTGGCATTTGGAGCATCATAAATGGCAGCATCTAGCATAGCTGACATCATGCTGATATGCGACACTGAGCTACCATGCCATATCATGCTATTAAATTTCTGCCACATGTGTCTGGCTTTGGATAGGTAGACTATGGTGGCGGGATGCACCATTGACATCATTGTGCCAACGTGCAACACTGAGCTACCATGCCATATCATGCTGTTGAATTTCTGCCACATGTGTCTGGCTTTGGATAGGTAGACTACGGTGGCGGGATGCACCATTGACATTATTGTGCCAACATGTGACACTGAGCTACCATGCCATATCATGCTGTTGAGTTTCTGTCACATGTATCTGGCTTTGGATAGGTAGACTACAGTGGCGGGATGCACCATTGACATCATTGTGCCAACATGCGACACTGATCTATCATGTCATAGCATACTGCCAATATTTTGTCAAGCCTAATGACAGCTTGCTTGTGATGCCATCATAAATGGCATTATGTCAACATGACACACTAAGTTACCTTACTGTAGCAAGCTGCTGATGCCTTGCCAAATATACATACCCTTACAAAAATTGCTTCTGATGGCAGAATCTACCATCAATAACTGTGTGACTAGGTGCTTATCTTCCATAAAAAGTTGCTGATATTTGGCAGACATACTAAATCTGATGAAGTTATTCATTGTGCTGTATTTGACTTTATGGATAGAATAATTATCATTTGTATTTTGGGTATATTTACTACAGGCAACAAACATTACAAAATATCTAATTAATTGGTGTTAGTATTGGCCAGTGCTTGAAGAACAGCGTGTTTTTCCTGAATTTTGGCTAGCGTGCTGTTTTTGCTGATACTTCACTGTGAGGAGGAGGAATTAGGGAAAATGCGACTGTAAGGTGTTAATATAGAGCTCGAAGATTATGAAATATATTACAAACTGTGTCCACCATGTCATCAGGTCAGCTACTTCCTCACTTTTGTCAGGATCTTCTAATAGATCAAGAATACTGTGATAGAAGTTTTCCGAGTCCGTAACCATGTCTGTGCATGAAAATACAGATGAGGAGCTCAATGAAAATTGAACCTAGAGGAGCGATAAGTAGAGGGATCGTTATGAAATTTCCAACTTGCCTGTGTGGCAATATAAGCCAGTGATCCTTTCATCACGGACTTCATCCCATGGAGGTATGTGTTACCGGAGCGCATGGCTTTTGGCTCCTTTTCTACAGAGCTTGGCGAAGTGAATACGTGTTTGAAACCCTATCAATAGAAATGGCATTGAGTAAAAACTTGACTGCTAATAGTGACCTTACACATATAAGTATGTCGCTTCTCAATAGACCTTGCCACAGAGCTTCAGGATCATAGACATACCCGGCATATAGAAACAACGACCACTGGTTGCTGTTACGCACTCAAATAGGTCTGTTATGCGGAGCCCTAAGAGGGGTATCGTTTGCTAATGTTCATGACGTAACTGGAAGGATCTGGTATAGCGAGTGAGACTGGCGACATCGAGTCGGCAGATATCACAGACACGCGTGTTATGTGACTTCTAAGACGACAGTCTTTAAAGTCACTAGGCCCAAAGTGCGGACTGTCTTGTCCGACGATGAGGCTATCGATCGAGGTAGACTTAAGCACGAAGAGCACTTAAGAAAAGATACTAGAGACTGAAGCTGAGAGGCTTCAGAGGGAAGTATGTTCCAGGGAAGATTGAGTAGATTCAAGTTAGAGAAACTAGTACAGGGCGACCGACTACTTATACAAAAGGGAGAGGTTTGAGGGCAGGGTTACCGTACTGTAGGTAAGGGTAAAGGGGAATCAGAAAGAGTATAGGTACATTGGCAACAGAGCCGGATTAGTGATGGTAGGTTGAATGCGGAATGAGACTGAGAAACGTTGGAATGAACCAATGGTAAAGATACAATGCGCAGCAAGCACGAGTCAGAAGAACATAAAAGGAAAGCCACATTGGTGGCATGAGTCAGGACGAGTCAAAGTGCAGGGGCACGTGTGCACGTTGGTGCGATAGCAAGATAAGGTCGAGGAGAAGATGGAGATGAGGGACGGGAGCAGTCCGGAGGATCCGGTCAACAGATATCCGGTAGAGAAGTGCAAGCCGATAGATGGTGAGGGCGAGGACAAAGGGAAAATGATAGGGGGGTCCCGTGACTGATGTTACTTGTAACACCATAGGTATTGTAAAGAAAAAACTTGGCATCCTATGCACCATAGGTGTTGTAATGAAAAAAAACTTGACATCCTGGGCGCCATAGGTGTTGTAATGAAAAAATTTACCATCCTAGGTGCCATAGATGAGATGGTGTATTGTCTCACTTGAATATAGCCATTATTGTACGTAGATATAAGCCTATGTGCACTGCTACAGCAACTCTCATTATTAGAGACCTCACATATCCAACTCATCCTCTCCAAAAAGTTTGCGACCCTGTGTACATGTTTCAAGTAATTTCACACTAAAGTAAGCTCTTCATTATAGGACTCTGTACCAAACCATAAGTTTACCTTCAGCATTCAACTTTCCTCAGTGCACAGGAGAAGCTCTGATGTGGATGAGCCATGCAGCACTGATTGTGAGTGAGTGATCAAGTGTTCCAGAGAACGATTCAGAACCAACATTACTCTGCAGGCAATTCTTTCAAATGAAGGAATTGGTCCATTCAGGGACTCAGACAACAGGTGAGAGTTAATAATTTAAAGACCTGCAACCTTAAGATGAATCTGAAATATCTCCTAGGAGAGAACGAAGAATCTGAAGCCAAGGGCAAACTAGAATCGGAGCTATGTCGTGTCAAGGAACAGCTAAAGGGCTCACAAATAAATGTTGCGTATCTATCAGAACAGGTGGGGACATACAGATATAGATGGTTGGAAGAGTACCACCGCGCCGAGAACCTTGAGCAACATATGCCGGATGAGGTCTATATACCCCACCTTAACCAGATCCCAGAGGATGCCCCTTCTCCTAGGGACCTCTTGCCCAAGTTCTTGAGTTGGGATGATGAAGGTTCATGAGATGATACATCTTGATAGCAGTGGGCACTTACAGGGTATTATAGGGCATGACCGCATGGTTATCTGATATCCAGGTCTAAATTAAATTTAAATTTGTGCATTAAATATTCAAGGGTATGCTTACTACTTCTGTCTTGACCGTGTGGCAAGCTTCTAGCACATTGTAACATGCGTTGAGTGCTTTGAATGATGCCATCAGTTGTGAAAATGATCGCGACATTGGGCAGTCATGCACTGCTCTATCATATCACACCTATACAAACTATGCAGTTTTAGAAATGTAAGTAACTTGAATATACAAAGTTAAAGTTCTCCAACTCAAGACTTAAATAAAAGAGACTTGGTTATACTATGGACGACATCAAGACAAAGTACTACAAAGTTGTAAGTAGAGTATATGAAAAGCAAAAAAGAGGCTTAATTTATGTCAAGGAACAGTAATATAGTGAACAACTATATTAAAGCTCTGCCGGCATTCAGCGTGAACACTTCAAGGCCAGAAAACCTGACATTCAGCCAGTGATAATCTCTTGAGTAAAGAATGTATTTGTCATATCCTGCGTTCTGGACCCGGACCTATCACACACATCATTTCCAGACTTCCGGATCCAGCCGACTTCTATCTATCGTCCGGATCCGACCCGCATCTATCTTCCGTGCCTTATTCCTTTGTATGTTCCTTCTCCAGTTAGACTATACTCATTTTCCGTACTTCGTTTCATTTCCGCCTTTATTTTCCCATGTCTTCATCTCCGTCTTCATTTACTATTTTTGATAGACTAGTGTTTGACTTTTCTATACGCTCCGTCCACAGCCTTGCATAGCTTCGGACTGCGCAGACTGACTCTCCGATAAGTCCTCAGTAGTATATAAACCCTGTAGAATCTTTGTACTTCCTTAGTTTGAATATTATCTTAGACTCTGCTCATTCCCTCCTCTGTCCGACTTGAGTATCTCCTCTCGTCGTCCTCCAATAGTCTTAGGATTGACTCCTATAGACTTAACACTTCCGCCTCTACCTTTGGTAGTCCTCCGCTGTTTCCTTTCTAGTTCGGACATCGTCCGGATTAGTCTTATCCCTCATTTCCCGAATGTCCGCTGGAATTCCCACGCATCGGACATCGGACCCTGGACCCATCTGACAACCTTCGGACATTGTCCAAACAGCCCTCAGAAATTAGGGGCATGTACTCGGGTAAGGGGCGCAGCGCACGAGCTGAAGCCAAGCCCTTCAGATCCGACCCTTGAGCACGTTCTTAACAGTATTGAGTAAAAGAATTTGTGTAAATTTACCTAGAACAGAGAGGGGTAACTTGGAGCAGCAAATGGATATGTTACAAACCACATGTACATGGCCTTATATCAAGCTTGCATAATGGAAATTTGAATAGTGTCACCTATTGAATGAAATCAGTGAGAACCACAGTGTTGTGATATTGGTCCAACCTTGGAGATGGGCTGGCTGAAAATGAGGCCTCTGAAATTCCGTCACGGCAGAATGGGTTGCAGAACAAACATGTACATACCACCCATATGGAAGAGGAGACCAAGGCTGAAGGTTTGAATACTATTTCATGATGGGTATGCGCCAAAAGAATCATATGAATGATTGGTTATCGAGGGTAGTGGTAGAAAAGCAGCACAAATGACATAAACCTAGTCCAACGTACAATTAACTTAGATGGAATAGCGATACAACGTCAAAGGGATACAAAGAACAAATGATGTGAACTTCGACCAGGAAGAGAAATAAATAAAAATCGGTAAGACAACTACAAAAAAGGTTTCATGCATACAGAGACATTGGAAGAGGCGCATGAGGATGAAAACCAATCATCAGAGCAATCATCATCATGACCATCCATCACAGCACTTGCAGAAGATCCTGCAGTGATTGTTCTTAGTGTGAAAGAAAAACAGAAATTAGGGCTGCATGCTCACTGTCAGATGAGTCTGTCATGCCATCAGACTCAGCAATGTGTGATATCGCTTCAGATAACATGTCTACTTCTGTCTGTGTGCGGTACTTCTTCAGGTCCAGGATGTGGATATCAGATCTGACCATGTCCAGACTTTTGGACTCTTTAGCCTTGAAGCTATGCCTCATGTTGAGGCATGGGGTTTGGCTTCTGTGAGGGATGCGCTCATGTATGTACAATATGTAATTTGATTAACCCAAGCTTTCAGAAAAGCGGGTAAAAGAAATATATCTTTGGACTGCAAAGTGTCAGAGTGCCAAGTCTCCATAGTATAGGAATAGCACGCATGATTGGAAGGTATTCAGGTTCTAGGGGTTGTGGAAAAGTAGATTTCCAGCTGACATTAACCTTCGTAGCATTTGTCTATGATTTCACTCAGAGGCTGGAAGCAACCCAATCTGACCAAGCTAGGTGCCGAGCATACTTGCACATTCTCGACAGCCTTCACTGCAGCCGGCTTCTTTGGATCAACTAGGGACAATTTTAAAGTGTTAGACGTAAATATTAAACACTATGACTCACTTGTGTGTTCGTCTGAGCGGGACCTAGTTTCCAGCTCCTCGCACACATTTGCAATAGCATTGCTAAATAATGAAACCTCCATCTGAGCTCGAAGCATTCTGTCCTGCATTAAACATTGTGCTCCTCCTGGAAAGAACATTGTTTGCTCTTCTTGCTAAAGCCGCTTCTGCATCGCGACCTCCGTGAGGCTCACATCAAGGAAAGCCATGAGATCATGCGAGTCAACCCATGCAAACAGCACTGAAGCTGTGACAAAGAGAGATTCCGGAAGCTGGAGATACAGTTAGAAAAATATAAGAGAGATGAGGGTACTGACAGTGTCACATCCCCATTTCTGGAGCCAAGATACAAGAGCTGCCTCACTCTGGTCATTTCCAAGAAAATGAGCTCTCACAGGTCTTTCCCATGTAGAAAGAAAACGTGAACAAATGATATTGAACATACTGAAGTTGAAGAAAAGAGACTTGGGGGACGTTCGCACGATTGTTCAATGATTACATACCTATAGTCCATTGGGAAGGAATGACTAGGCGATGGCGGTCAGCAGGTGTTTATTAATATAATTGGTCTCAAAGCAATGGCACTATGGCCAGTTGGTAGCGATCAAACTCTAAAACAATAGTAGGTTAGACAAAATAAATGAAATAATTAATTAAATAATGACACAAATATGCACTTTGTGCTTCACATGGGAGCCGAATTATCCATCTTCAGACTGTCACAAAGTTTACAGGCTAACAGGGACTGATGAAATTTCAAAATGCAGAATGCGAAACTAAGTTCTAGCGGACGTTGAATGTGTAGTTTTTTTTTCTTTTTCGTCAGCAGACTGATGCGGCAAACATCAGCCTCACTGCACATTGCAGTCATAATCAGCAGTACAGCAGTAGTATATATGAACTCACATAATGGTGCACAAACTGCGAAGGACATTGAGGAATGAGACATATCCAGGATCATTCTCCTGAAGCAGCAGCATGAAAATAGTTTCGCACAATTCTTGGTGCACCTGGATGATGGTCGGAAAGTTGGGCATGATGTCAGTTACGCCCCAAATGTTAATCAGCCATGCCAGCAGGCCCTCATAACACTGACGTGACAAAAGTGAACAAAATGCATGCCAGGAGAGTCAAAGGCACTTATGCTAGACCCTACCAGTGCAAGCGTGTCTAATGGAGGATGCAGAGCATGCCTGAATGCAGCAGGATCGAGATCAGCCAGAACGAGCCTGAACTTGCATGTCCTGTTGATACGGAAGACTATATGATATGCGATCTCTTTTGTGATCTGCTCTGCTAAGAAGATAGCAAATCTGTTGTTCTGTGACACTAAATAAGGTTTGACAATAAAAAAAAATTCAGATAACTTACTGCGATAGGGAGCATATTCGCATATGGGCGAATGAACATTTGCATAAGGCCCAGAAGCTTGTCCCTTAGAGCTATGCCCCATATTGTATCACTTCTGAGGCCAAAGCCTGCATGAACATTGTCTATGGAACGAATTACTACTCGCCTAATATCATAAAGAAACAGTGACAGCCATGGACCCGTCTATCTTGGGATCAGACCAGTAAATGAAAAAAAAAATCACGCATACCATGAGCAACACCTCATCATGTGACAAGGGCACCTTGGTCACTGTGTTCAAAACTAGAAAGGAATAAGCATTTGTAGATATCTGGAAGTTGGGCTGTATACCTGTTTCCAACTGTTCAGCAGTGACATTTGCCTTGACGAGGCACTGGGGCCAGAGAGTATGAATAAGCTGGCATCTATGCCTGGCATACACACTAGTGACAAGAATATGAGGATTCTCCATCCGGCCAAGACAAACCTCGAGGTGGTACACATTTTTTAGTCGAAGGTGTGCGAGGGCCCTTTTCCACTTGGGACACGCCTTCATGATCATGTAGAGATTCAATTGAGCTGGTTCGACCTTCTTCTTTTCTGGTTCGACCTTCTTCTTTTCTGGTTCGACCTTCTTTTCTGGTGCGACCTTCTTTTCTGGTGTGATGTCCTCTTCAGGTGTTGTGTCAAGGACACTACTAGAGCCAGCTGACACAGTATCGACAGTATAACCCAGCCAGGATATGGGGATTGACGAGTCTTGGACGGAATGGCTTTGCCATAAAGCATCTGATTGGGACATGTTGTCTGAAGTCGGAAAGGAAACCGAGTAGTCAACATCAGGGATAGTGGTATAGAAGCCCATAGGGAACCCCACATAGTGAATGATTGTTTGCACCTCATGCTCGTGGGCAACGCCGTCCTGCATAATTTTAGCATGAGATAGTCATACCGTTGTGCAGTGAACTTACATGAAAATATACTCCGTACAGCATTGTGTCAATGCCTGTCTTGTTCTGCACCCATGAAAGATTCAAGGGTGGCATGACATCGTCACGGTTCTACATGACTGATCAGCATAAGCCATGATGCAGTCAAGAGTGTACATACAGCAAGCACAAAAACAGGGACATCGGTATCCGCAAATATTTCGAAAGCTGAAAAATGCGCAACAGGCATGGCCACGTAAGCAACGAGAACAAGATGATCCTTGAGCTGGGGAGAGGTCAGAATATAGCACCCATAAAATAAAATTTCCTACAGCTGCATGACAGGTAGGCAGAACCTGCATATATGTTGAGATATAATAACTCGAAAGGTACAGAAATGCTCACATAGAGATAGAGAGGATGCAATGTAGGCTGAGGGCCAATAGATAAATATCCGACAAAGTCGATAGAGAAAGTGGGCAAACCCTGCCAGCGATGGAACCATGAGCAATGTTTTATGTGGTGCGCAAGATGAGGAAACAACTTACACACAATATGCTCAAGGCAGAGAACTGGGGGTCATAAACATACGACTTGTGTTCAAATCCTGTTTGGGTATCTTCATAAGATCCAAAGTTTGCCATAGTAGACAAGATGCAGTGGGTAAGCAAAACATGAGTGAGATGGAACATATTTAAAGAGAAATACATACCCTGATCGCCGTAGTTAGTTATTAGATATTTAATTACATCGAATTTTGATCACGAGGCCTTGGCCATCAACAAGCAGTCAGAGTGCCATCGACAGAAGGATATGTACACACAGTTAAAAGTGTAATATTGACATGAGGCCTTGACTGCCAATGCAATGTCGCAGTGCCATCAGGCTAAGAAATTAGAAGGTTTCAATACAATCCCATAACTGATTTATGTACATAATATTTGGATGCCTAGTGGGATCCTATGCATAATCGATGGTTCCTTGGTTTTAGAAATTAAACCATCGATAATGAGGATAGTGGGCAATTCCAAGTTTTCCTGAAGGACCCCTGCACTCACTGTAAGAAACACTGTTTTAAATGTGATTCATATCAAAACTTATGTTCACCATGGTGTTCCCATGGCCTCCAATCTCTTTAAGGCCCGGCTGGTGGATGAGTTTATACAGTTAAGCTCAGCGCCATGAAATGGAAGTCATGGAGCTTAATATGTATGTAATATTCTAGTGCATTAGTTCTCATAATCCAGCTCTACTTCTGAGTCGTACATTTCCTCAAATTCGCCTATCAGTGACTCGGTGCTGCTGCCAAACTGCTCATCACAGTCCACCATTGTGGGACAGTCATCATCCTTTTCAGAATCACTACTATCACTATCTTCCTCTTCATCTCCACTTTCAGCTTCCTCCATAAGGTACGAAGCACCATGAGTGACAGCAACCTCTACCTGCAGGGAACTGTAATGAGAGAACACATGTCCAACACCCAAACCGAAGTGGAATCACATCATCATGTCACGGTCCATGAACCTAAAATAATTGGTTCCAGAAGTGTCATGTGAGAAACAGGACCCGTACTTACTGATTAATGTAGTATTCACGCCAATTGTCCTTGTCCCCTGTGCATGCCGACATGCCCAATCCATCAGGGTGTTTCTTGCCACTGGCAAATAAAGGTATGATGTGGCAGCTGCGAAGTACATCTGCTGGATCCAGGAAGTCAAATGAGTACTTGTCCGCTAGAGGCGGAAATATAACCTGATCAAGGGTGGAGGTGTCCCAAGCAGAGAGCTGCTATATGGGCTCATACCAACGTATCCATAAGAACTCCATCCACCATGGAGTGTAGTCCACCATACCAACACCAATCGTGATTACATTCACGTGGTAGATACCTAGTACCTTGCCATATGTAAATTTATGACCTTTGGGCCCCATATCATTGTCAGGTGTCATATCCCGTATTCCGGTGTCTTCTTAGATAGATGGTCTATAGATAAACACCTATAAAAACAAATATCTCCACGGTCAGTGATTCAGACAAATACCAATGACTGATAATGTGGTCGTTCGTGGGTGGCTAGTTGTATACTACCCAAAGTACGTTCAGCTAAAGGTACTTCTGCAAGATCAGTAAATACGATGGTCAATCCAATCTATGGACTTGACAGAAACAAACAAAGAAACAAATAATGGTCAGCCCGACAGTATGGCAGTAACCAAAGAAATAGAAAGTTCTCCCTCAAGCGTCCTTTCAACAACAGTGCCTCTTACCAAACTGTACTCCACAAAGAATGGTGCGGAATTACAATGATCAACCCCCTCAGCACAAAACAGGTAGAATCAAAGGTCAAGACTAGTCCAATGCTTTATTGTAGAACTCTTAGCTCGATATTGAACCTGCTGTCAAGGAACTCACTTTGAGTATTCAAACAGACTCAGGAACGGACGTCCTTGGATTTACTACCAAGTCCCCTCTTCAACAGCTAAAGCCTAGCAGGCACAGAAAACCTTGGCTCAGTATCACTACTCAGATGAGTGAGGTCAAGCTTCACTATCAATCCCTTAAGTCTCCCCACTAAGCTACTCTGAGTCTTAGGTGGATGTAGAGACAACACGAATATTTTGGAATATGCTTTTTGGAAAAAGAACACCAAAGGCTGGTGAAAGTAAAAGAAAAGAGAAAAGAAAAGAAAAATAGAAATTTGAATAAAACTGTGGCTGTACCTTGCTTGCTGGTTGTTGCACACAGTGAGCTTGCAGCTAGTCGTTTAGTATGATGAGCTTGCAGTATTACTGTCTCTTGAGAATGTTCCTCTCAGTCTTGAACAGTTCTTGACACTGATGCTGACACTTATCACACCTTACTCACAACTTAATGTTAGATGGGCTGAAAACTCCCACTTGGTTGCTTCTTATTTCAAAACTGGGGTCATTATATACACAATAAATGTGGCTGTGCTACTAGTATATTCAAGAGTCATAATGAGTCATATATTCAGGGTGAGTCATAGTGAGTCAGTTCAAAGTTATTTCTAGTCATAGTGAGTCATATATTCAGAGTGAGTCATAATGAGTCATATATTCAGAGTGAGTCATAATGAGTCATTGGGTATTTTGCTAAGTCATCCTGGCTTGTTGCTAGTCATGTGACCTATCCAACTCCTGATGACAAGTCCAGAAAGAAAGTAAGAAATGTCACATGATGTGAATCCTTTGTGTGTCTGTCTTTTCTTTGCTTTGTTTGAAGGGTGAAAATGACGCGAGCCTAGTATTTAGGGTTTTACGAATGTTTTTCCAGGACAACATATGTGGGAAATATTTTTCACAGTCACCTGACATGCGCGGGATTTTGTCTGTGTCATCACCATGGCTGACTAAGCAAAACTCATTGCAGAATTAAATGTACTAAAATATTCAGCCTGCTTGCATGCAAACTTGCAAAAGCGAAAAATATTCCCTTAGCCTTGGTCTGACTTCAGGTCACAGGGAAAATGATTTCATAGGGTATAGGGCTCTTAGGAGAGTATTAGTCATCCATGCACCGAACCAGTTTGGTGCAGGTCACCGGACCTACATCCGACAATGTTCCCACGCCTCATCCGGACCTTTGGATGCCCTATCCATGTCTCCAGTCCTCTATCCATCCGGATCCCTGCACCTCTGCACATCCACATCTGCACATCCACATCCAGATCCCTTTACCTCCATACCTCAGCTAGCCTGCATCATTCATCCTTTGTCCCATCACCCTAATGTCATATCCCATATATCCACGTGTCTCATTCGGACATCTGATCTGATCTGATCCAATATACAATAAGCTTCTTAATTCATTCCTGTGCATATAACATTAACACAGCTTATTCCTCTATTCAGTATTCCTTGTCCTTGGTATCTCGGTTATACTTACTACCGGTACGCTTACTGATCCGTCAACCTATGCTTCATTTCCGACTTGTGCTTGATAACTTTGCTTATGCTTCATACATAGCCTTGGACGCTTGCTTACTGATCTTTCCATTATTTCCTTAGTATATAAACTCTTGTATATGCCCTGTAGTTCCCCAGTCTGAATATCATATTAGTCCTTGCACTAGATCTCACTCTAAGTCCTCATATCAGTTCTAGTCTACCGACTTAGTCAATATCCATCTCAGGCCTAGGGAGAAATTCCTTAGGCCAGAGCTCCACTTATCTGATCCTCTGCTCATCCACTTATCCGATCCTCTGAAGTTTCCGGACGTTCATCTGAAACTTTCCCGCAGTCCTCTGGACCTATTCTGCTTTGGACTTTGTCCTTGCAGCCTTTCCTCTATTTGCTTCTACTTAGGACTTGTCCTAAGTAGCCATTACACGTATCCATATCAGGACGAAACCTCATTGTAATTTCCGGAAGTTCCTCTGGAACTTTCCCACACTCGTCCGGAAGTTACTTGCACTCGTCCGGAAAGTCCTTCCGAACTTTCCCGCGCTTTGGATGTCCTTTGGATGTCCTTGGACTTTCTTCGGACATCATTCTGAAATTAAGGGCACATACTCGGGTAAGGGGCACAGCGCACGAGCTGAAGCCAAGCCCCTCAGAATCAGTCCTACCCTTTGTGCACAGTCTTAACATCAGGGCACAGCACCATGATATTACAATGGGAAGTACACGGGTTGATGACATCTTGCGATCGGCGAACATCGTGTGTGGTGTAATTCACCCTGGCAATATTGTGGTGGTAGATTCGGTCGTCCTTCAAGATAATTGTGTTAGTGTCATGATCTTCTGCTAACTCCAGAAGATTTCTCAAGATGTTAATGCGACACAACAGGTGTTCTTTTGGTTTCAGCATGAAATTCTGGGGACATGTGAGAGAGTGTTTGCAGAAGCACAATGGAACTAACTTTGACTGCCGGATCACCTTCATGGTTATGCAAGAATGACCCTATATGAATTGGGTACTTTTGTGTCAAGTTGATATGGTGGTGAACGTCCGGGTTTCTTGCTAATTCAGTGAGTTCAATATGGGGGCGATGAGTAAGTTTGTCACCTATCCAGTGAATGCAGACCTGCCAGCGTTTGATTTTAGTAAGCTGCTTAACAAAAGACTTGCGATCTGTGCGGCAATATCTAGCCTTGGGTGAACGGTGTTCAAGTTCACCCTGGAAAAGTCAGTCAGTGAAAAGCTGATATATCAGGGAACAGACTGGTTCAGTACTGTATGAATCACACGTCCCATACTGCCAGATAGTCAATACATAATCTCCCAATGCGTGGAATTTGTAGGTCTGAAAATTAAAAACTTTGATGCACTGTGCATTCTTGGTGGCATTCTCTGATCCAGCCAAGCCCCCTTGACAAATAAGGCGGGCGGTGCCCTTGCCCTTCTGTGCCTTCTGTGCTCCCTTTCATTTTGCTGCTTGTGTGGTCTGGCATCGAGTGCGAGCCAAGATCTCCTGATGAAGTTCGTGGGTATCATATACCGAGCAAACTGTTGCTTTAAATTCGCGGAACTGTTGACCGACGGATGAAGTCACTTCGTCCATGATGCTAAGGGTCAAATCAGAGTGCATCCGGAGCTTTGATAGGCCATGCCAATGGGCCATTGTGAATAGCAGCTTGAGGACTTTTGTATTGTGTGGTTCAGGAAGGAGATGGTCG